TATATATTGCCTTGTTTTTTTCCCAAGTATAAATGAAGAATTTGGTGATGTGAAATTGACTCCAAAATGAAAACAAAAACATGAACCCACAAACAAAATGTAACCCTCCACCCCCCAGTTAGTAGAAAATAGCCTGTGTGTTTGTGTGTGAGAAGATCCTGCAGTTGGATACCACTCCCTTAGTGTTCCTCAGTGGACGTTGGCTAGGAGAACACTAATTTGTTGACTAGACTATTTGGTTTGCCAAACAATGAGTGTCACAAGGTTTGACATATCGCTATATTCTTTGAGAAATTTTTTACAAACAGGGGCTCTCTGGATGCTCTTGGTCATTATGAGGCTATAGGGTAAGTCCGCACACGTAAACCCAGCATTCCTCCCAAAAGGTTATCAGGCAGTAGAAGCTCAAGCAGACCGTCTGCTCTAAGGGGCCATACCTGTGTAACCCGATGATACCAGATTCACCACGGCATTCACATGGGTCAGGAAACCGACAGATTCTCTGGATATGTGCCTAGAGTGAAAATGAACACACACTGCCAGGAAAATATATCATTACCTTTTTTATACATATATTTTAGAGATTTATTTATATATGCTTATAGAACAGGCCAGAGGTGTGGTGGGTGAGAGGATTCACCAGAGACAGTGTGGCAAACAGAACAGGCAAATATACTGAAACACACTGGTGAGGGTCACAGCGGGCAGGTTAGGAGAGGTCTGCTGCACCATGTGGGTCACCTCTGGGGCTGGGGATGGAACTCGTGCTGCAGTGGCTTCTGAGAATGTCATAGTGTGGACCTTTAACCCATTGTACCACCAGGGAGATCCCTGTAGTTACCTTTTTTAAGATATCAGGTCAAATAGGGAAGCTGAACTACCCAAAAGGTTGGTCTCCAATGTTATGAGGTATAAACTATGTTGTTGTTGTTTTTTTCTTACGTGAGGTAGCCTAATTCACAAAGTGAAATTATTGCAATTTCAAATCTTATCCAAGAACAGGTTGACAGGTAGTGGCTTTTCAAAGTGACAGGCGTCTAATTGAATAAACAAAGTGATTTGTAATCCTGACAAGGTGGATGAGCTATGAAAATATATTAAGAGGGAAGAGAAGGTAAAAATGTAGACAGTGACAGGTGTTTGTGTAGACATCCTGAAACATGGAAATAAATATTCTGATGTTCATCTTTCTATTCTGTCATAATAGAGGAGAATCATGAAGGACCAATCGTTCAAAGTAATGACGGAATAAATCAGGAGCAGTAGGCTGACTTGTAGGATTCTTCTGATGAAAATTACAGAACTAGCTTTTACAGGAAATTATAGTCCCATAATTGTCAAATAACGTAATCACAGAAGAAGGCTCTTAGGGATCATTAAGGTATTCTTTGAATATTCAAGGCAAAATTTACTTCATCTGTTGTTATGATCTATCCTTATTTAGATTATTTTTAAAAAACTTGAATAAACCTTTTAGTTTTTCTGATTTCCTTATGTAAATGTGCTGTGATTATTACATCACCCAAATAGCAGAGTGTTAAAAACGCAATCATAGAACCCACCTAAAATGGGCTGTTCTATAAGGGGAACATAATTATTCCGCTCTCTTCCTCACTAAAATTATCCCAAAGTGGGCGGAAAACCTACTTTCTCAAGTTTCCTGTTTGTACCTTCATAGGGTTGCTTCTTTTAATAGTCGATCTGCTTATAAAGGTGTAAGCATTGGCCTGAAGAACAGCTTTAGAAGAAGTGTTGAATATACTGCTCTAAAGTCAGAGTGCAGGTGGTCGTACAGACAGCAGCACGATGTGACGTGTCGCAAACAGGCGTGAAGCTGCAGCAGTTCATTGTCCACACTTGACGAAAATGGAACCACCGGTCTGTAGATGATAATGGCAAGGAACAAAGTCCGATGTGCTGTCTAACTCCGCAAATAGTGACTAGTCACTTGGAATTTTTTCCTCAGATTTCCCTGAAAAAAAGAGCACACTGGCATTTGCCTTCTTGAAATTATTAGCACCTTCATGCCGAGAACTGTGTTCACTTTAAAAAGTTGCCTTTCCGCAATAGTTTTGTTGCTTTTGAAATTTTGAATAACTGCTAGTCTGTATTGTCATATATCAGATGAGACAGTTAACACTTAGGCAAACTTGTTATTCCCTAAAGAACATTACATAGAACCTAGTTCTCAAATTGGGTTGCATGAAAGGATCACCTGGAGAGTTTTTAAAAACTTCAGTGTCCATGCTCACCCCACCAGCGCAGACTCTCAGGATCCAACCATCCATTATTATTTTTTTTTTAAGTGTCTCCTTATTTATTTGTAAAGATTTACTTATTCATACGGAACTGGGTTACAAGCCAGAGGTGTAGAGGCAGTGAGAGGCTTCACCAGAGACAGAGTGGGGAGCAGAACAGGAAGATGGACAAGGACACTGCTGAGGGGAGCAGCGGGCGGGTCAGGAGAGGTCTGCCTCGCCCTGTGGATCCTCTGGGGTGGGATCAAATTGGCACTGAAGTGGCTGAGGCTAGCTTGCATGCTGCATCCTAATCCGTTGCACCACCAGGAAGGGCCACAATCCATTAATTTTGAAACTCCCAGGCAGTTCCTGGGAGTCCCCTGTGTAGCCTAGTTTTAAGTACCACTGACATTGAGAATTTGGGGTTTTAATTTTCCTTGCTAGCCCTTTGTTTCATGATCCACCAAACTCTCTTTAAGCCCATAACAGACAGCATTTGGGGCTATCTATCGTAAGTAATGTGTCATATCCTATTTTACACTCCATCACTGAATGGCGTTCTTTCCACTCGAACTTGAATATGGATGTTTTCCCAGTCCAGGTCAAAAAGGCACCGGATTCTAGTTACGTGAGAGTGTTTCTTTTCCTCTTTACACTACATATCACAAGGAAAATGCTCTTTCCTCCTCTCAGGGATCCTGTACAAGGGAAACGGGGAGAATCAGTTCATCTCCCAGCAGCCGCCCGTCGTCAGCAGCATCATGGGTAACGGGCGCAGGCGCAGCATCTCCTGCCCAAGTTGCAACGGCCAGGCCGACGGTAACAAACTCCTGGCCCCGGTCGCCTTGGCTTGCGGCATTGATGGCAGCCTGTACGTCGGGGACTTCAACTACGTTCGGCGCATATTCCCTTCCGGAAACGTGACCAGCGTTTTAGAGCTAAGGTATGTCTTTCCTGGCTTTGGGTTGTCATCAAAGCTAATCATGCCTTTATTTCAAACACCTTGAATTGAAGGGAATGTCCTCCTCTGTAATTACACATACCTTCCCACTGTTTAAAATTCTCCCTAAAAAAAAGTTAGATTCTTGCGAAAGCTAATGGAAACACCACACACATATGTGGTACTGTAAGTGTATAAAAGATTATCCGGTTATCACATGTAGAAAATGTCTCACTGATTCTAGTGAATTCTCAGTGTTCTGATAGAATAAGTCCCTTTCGCCATCTTAGAATAACCTTGTAATATATGTCGTATTCTTTCCTTTCACAGAGGTTGAAATTGAGGGCAAAAAAATGTTTTCCAGCAATAATAGGGCATAATAGTCAACAAATTCAGGTTATAACTTTCAGCCAGAGTGTTGATCTTCAGTTTGAGTTATCCTATTAGCTATAATAATGCCAATAGTTAACGTAATAAATTGTTCTCTTTATATTGCTCCTTTAAGCATTATTGTCAAAAATAATCCTATTGTATAAATTATTTGGTAAGTCTTGGCCTGCAAAATTTATTTCCAGTGTTATTTCTGCTCATGTTGGCTATTTTCCATATCAGTGAAATCTCAGTATTCAACTCCTATTTAAAGACCTTTTCTAACTTGCTTTCTTTTTCACCTTTTTATCTGCTTCCACCAAGAAATAAAGATTTTAGACATAGGTAAGCATTATGCGTAAAGATTATGGTATATTTTCAAATGTCCTCTTTACATTTCCATGTGACTTTCTGACATTGTTTTCTAAGAACATTCCATCATGAGAGAGGAAGCACAGTATCACAGGACATCAAAAGAAGCAAACTGTTTAAATGAGCTATTACTATGCAATAACTTGTAAATTTTATTATGCAACATCATTTGAAAAATAGTTTCCAGTTGATTAAAAATTAATTGTATTAGAAAAAAAAATTATAATGAACGTATTTGCCTAACAAAAAATAGTTCCATATTCCAATTACTGACTCGCATAAACTGAACCACATGGAACAGAACAAACTTCAAAGCACTGTAGGAAAACTTAAGGAGATTTTAGTTTGACCATTAGCCTGGTCATATCCTGATTTGTTGGGCTCAAAGCCTGTTCAATTTGAGGGACTTCAATTCTTTAAGAGAAAAGACCTACAAATGTTTTACTTCCGCAAGTTTTTAAATGCATTAAGGTCATGTGAAGATGCTGTCCACACTCTCCCTGGCCTAGAGCTAACGCTTTTCAAGTGCCTGGTCAATCCCTCACCACCTACAATATCTGCCTAAGTTGAGAGAGTTATAAGACTTGAGTTTCAAAAAATGATGTTTTCATGACATGACTATTTTTGAAGAAGACTTTCTGCAAAGCTAGGGATGAATATAGGTGAGGCAGAGATGTCAGCTCCAGAAGTGTTCATCTTCTAAGTGCTCTGTACAGTTAGCCAGCACATTGAGTAGAAGCTTAAGCATGGACACTTTCAGCTGAAAAACTTTTCTCTGGACAGCAGAGTTGGGGGTGGGGGATGTTGAGTGCAAGAGAAACAATATGTTTTAAATAAAGCTAGAAGAAAAGCAAAAGCAAGCTGTGTCAACATACTACATCTCATCTGGCCGTTCGAATATCTGATGAAATGGCTTCAGATAGAAAATGAACGATGTTTTAGTGACATCCTTGAGATGAAAGCCACCATAACCCATTTAAGCTGTCATGTAGAGATTAACAACTGGGAAAACCGGAGTTCTCCTGAAAGTGGCATGGCTGTGGCATGTCCACGTGACCAGGCCTGGTCCCATAACCTCTTCCCAGAATCCCCTGTTCATCTACTCTCAGATCAGTCACATGCTAAGATGAAAACTATCTCCAGACGATTAATCATGCAAAGCTCGGTGATGCAAAAACACGGGAGAATCTCAAAAAGTTTCTGGCCTGGCTTTCTTGGTAACTGGAAAAAGTAGGAAAGGCCAGGAGGTGTGTGTCGTGACTCACGACAAGGCCAGAGGTGACCCAGAGCCAACTACCCAAGCAGCTACCTGAGGACAGGCTGCTGGTGCCACTGGCATGTGCAGCTAGGTATTTGAGATACCTTCTTATAGATGCACACAACAGTTCCTCAGGGTCACAGAGGAGGGGAGTAAGGCTCAAGGCGGCTATGTGTCTCCCCACCATCCATAATAAGAGTGGAGACCACTCTGAGCAGTGTGTTCTTTGCCTTCTGCACACACCAGTTTTCTCTTGCATCCAGAGGGCCAGGTTTCTGTGGGGTCAGTCCCTGGCTATGCAGAAAGTCAGATTTATTTCAAACCATCGTCCAAATTACATAGGACTCTAATTTCTCTATAGTAAAAACTATAGTCTCTCTCTGGAAAAAATCTGTTAGGCTAGAGCTACATTAATATCAACACTACTTTGTAATCTGAGCTCGTGATGTGCTCCTGGTGTTTGCTGGTGATACTCAATGTCATTCTTCTCTCATGACTCTTTCGCCTCCCTCCTCCATGTTACGTGGCTAAATTTGGATCCCATTTCTTGTATGTGCCCTGCATGTAAAATATACTGGGTTTTATATTGATGTCCCTTATTATTAACTCTGTTAAGTGGCCACTTAGTTTGTGCTAGTAGGTACTGTCACTAGGGTGGCATGAGACGAACAAAGCATGTGAGCTCGGAACTCACCGGCAAATGACATGGGACAAACCAAATAATATGACTAGTGTTGTTCTGTGGCACTTGATCACCCCTATGGTGCTTGATCACCCCTATGACTTAAGCTTTTGTTGGGTAAATTCTTTGGAAGGAGATCGCTGCAAGATGGCAGGGTAGTGAGAAAAGTTGACAGGATCAATGTTGGACCTAAAGTCTAGAAATGCAGTCTACTTAAGAGGAACAGAGGTAGCCCAGAGAACACAGGAGGAGCACCAGTACCAAGTCTGAGAAGCAGGAATCACCTGTGTGCGGTGGGGAGTCAGGTGGCTGACAGTGGAGACAGAGGCAGGGAGGCCGCTGAGGGAGAGGCTGAGGACCTCGCGTGCCCTGAGGGATCGCTCTGCCATGCTTCCCATTGTGGGCGAACCTTCCCTGGTCGGAACCATGGTTCCCTCTGGAACCATGGTCCAGTGCCGTGGGGATGCACTAGAAGGCTACTGCAGTAGAGCCGGTGATTCTGTGTGTGCCTCAGTCTGTGGCAGGCTGGGGAGGAAATTAACCACTGATGCAGAAGCAGGCAGGACACACCACTGGGGTGAATGACAGACAAGAGGAGGGGCCAGAGGTCTGGAGCCCAGGTTTTTAAGTGGATGAGAAGATCACTGACAGTTAGGGACTATGTTTGCTTGATAATTAGTTATTCAAAATTGACTTAACAAGACCAAGAGAGGTCAGCTCATGGGAGCGTCTTCGTTAAGCATAAAAATTGCAATTCTTTTTTCATGCCTCTTCCTGTCTGTCAATCTTTATCCACCTCTTGGGCTTCTTATAGGACCCTGTCTTGCTTTCTGTGCAGCTGCACTCCCTTGGCTAACATAGAAGTTGTTAGAGGAATCGATGATAAAGAAAAAGAGAAGCTGAAAAGTACGTCTAAATCTACAGAAATGAACAATATTGGCATTTGTTGACAATCCAATCAAATACAAAATGTCATGCTTCATATATTATCAGCAGTATCATTAATTGAACTAATGGGGGATATAATTGATAAGATGTTAAATGACAAAATAATAGCATCTTGTTATGCCATATTACTACCAGGATACTATGTCAAATAAAAGGCATAAATAGTACTCAGCCAACATATTAATTTTTTTAACATAACTGGAAGCTTCTGGAATGTTTAAAAATGTTTCTCATAGAGATCCTAAACATTTCCCCCTATGATGTTGGTAACATTAGTTTGCCAACAAACCCTTTTTGAAAATAGTAGATTTTAGCCCATCCCTGTTCCATTTCTTTAAACTTCCAAAATACTGGAATTTAAATTAATTAATACTAGCCAAGGGGCATTAAACATGGAAGAGTAAAAGTTAACTTTTGAATTTTATATTACCAATTAAAGGACCAAAGAAAGTGTCAATCACAGGTCTGTGAATTTGAGTCACTTAAAGAGTAGGGGAAAAAAAATTGTGAAGATTCTTTACTTCTTAGATTAAAACCTAAACGCCAAGCAGGCACAGAAATCCAGTATTCCAAAGCCCTGTTGGCAATAATCCAAAGCCTCGATTGCCTAGAAAATAGGTGACTTAACTTTTATACCTTAAATGTAATTTCTGTTCTTCAAATGCTCCATGTTCCTCGGGTTACGACATAATTTTCAACAGATAAGATTAAAGTGCTAGTAACATCTCCTCTGGAGCATGTTCCTGTATCTCTTTAGCCTAAGAAAGTTGAGTTAGGACCAAAGAAACGAGCCATCTGGTCTCCACTACGTAAACGAGACCACAGAGAAGATGCCTAACCCTGGGAAGATCTAGCAGATTCAGGAAGAGGCACAAATGAAGGCACAGTGTACAAAGAGCGTCTTCCCTGGAGCTCGGCCTCATCGGTTCTGCTGTTAGCCCCAATCTTGCTGTTATTTTGAACTTTTCTGAAGTGAAACTCTCAATCCCCTAAGAATTGAGTTGCTCCTGCTGAAAGGTTCCCCCAAACCCTACATTTTGGGAGCCCCTCTTTGCACTACCACCCACCTCGAGTGCCGCTTGCAGGAAGCTCAGAGCAAGTTCCCGCTGACCTGTCACAAAACTCGCTCAGGTGGCGACCTTGTGCCAGTCCCAGAAGCACAAGATGCTTCTCTGACACCTGGAGATTTCCACACTCACTCTTTTGACCTTCTGGCCTCTGGGACTTGCCCCTCTTCTCATCGAGAGGCTGAGATCTAAGAACCAGCTCTAATTTGCCTGGCGAGGCTGCACCACAGGGAGGTGTCCTCGACCCTGTCTGTGTGGAATTTCTCCCAAACGAGTTCTGTCACCTCATCCACACACACCACATCCGTGCTTTTGGACAAATTCTCCAGTGGTGTCCAAAACTAGAGCCCTCGTTGGCAGACAATTTTAAAGCGCTGACAGGTGTGGCTTTGGGTTTCTGTGTCCCCAGGGAGGGAGAAGCTACAGACAGGAAGCAGGAAATAGGAGCTCTGCTTTGGGCCTTTGCTTACTCACCACTAGGATAAAACAGATGCGAATAAACGCAACACTTGGGACTTGAATGGCCTTGACTTATGCACTGAGAAAACCTGTGTCCTGCAGGCAGGGTCCACCTACGAGGTGGACAAAACTCTTAGGCTCGTTGCCAGTATGAGGGGCGCCGTGAAAAACTGTGCATGATCCATTTGCCTTCGGCATCATTCTTCTGGCAGCTATTCACGGGGTGTTTTGGGAAGGGTCTGGGTTGTTTTAATAGTTAGGTTGCCATGTCCCAGCAGGATTAAGGAAATAAATCTGAACCCAAGGATAAGGACCTTTTTTTTTATTATCACCATTTTCAGAAAGGAAGTCATCTTTTACGTAGTTAACTATAGTGAATACACTCCTGCACTGAACAGTCACACTCCTGCAAAACGTAAAAGTGACACCGGAGAGATCTAATGTTTATTGGACAAGGGATGTGTGCAGGCAGGTCCTGAGGGTTCTATGCCCTGCAGCCACGTGGCTCACACATCCCTTCCGCATCCTGAGTCATATGTGTTCTTACGGCTCACCAAAGGCACGGGGATCGAGGAGTTGCCCACAGTCACACAGGGCATGAGGGATGAAGCTGGCCCTCTGCACCAGAGTCACCCCTGTAAATACACAACTGACAACATAAAGTGTGTGTGTGTGTGTGTGTGTGTGCACATCCATAAGCGATGAATCACAGCTGGAAACAGCTGGGGAGCTAGGAAGGACTGGCGAAGACTTTCCGAAGTCATGACTTTCAACTAGAACTCTGCCTCTAACTAGCCATCCGCCCTCTGTCAATATCGAATTGTTTATTGAGGAACAGACCTCTGTAAGGCTGTTCTGAATAGTCTGTTGATATGTAACTTTGCACTTCCAGACAGCGTAATAAAGCGCCATATTCGGGAACATGGTCTGCCTTGCTCCATTTAAAAGTTCAGGCTTCCGTTCATGATGATGAGCTGGCGACCCTCCGCAGGCTGGGTGTGCTTACTGCAGTCCTGGAGCGTGTTCATTCCACATCGTTGGTTCTTAGCATCACTTTGTGCCCTTTCACCTGTGTTTGCTCCCTCGAGATCCTTGCTCTGGGCTGACTCTTGTCATCAAAAGATATTTGACACTAAGAAAGAGACCCCAAAACTGAAGGGATTCAGGCTTTCATGGTCTTGGCATCTCTTTCTGCATCATGGTTGTGAAAGCTGGGAGAGGTCCCCGAAGGGTCCTACACCTCCACAGGTCACCTCTGTCCCCTCCACCATGGTGAGAAGCCCTAGTGGAAACAAACTATTCTTTGGCCAGGAGAGGTAGAGCACATCTGCTCACCTCTTCGGAGGGCGTGCACAGCACAGTGAGAATTCACCTTCACACCTAAACCAGTAACTGGGCCATTTCCATATAGTTAGATTCATACTCCAGATTCTAGAATTCACATGAGTGGCAACAAGTGTATAATTATCCATGTGCGCATGGGGGTGTGGGAGGGGGTGGCTGGTTGATTCCTATAGTTCACTTCTTTGTGAACCACCTTATCGTTTAAACTTTGATTTCTTTTTCAGAAGTGATATTTGCATGTATATAGTTGTGTACAATAGTAGAGTGTTTATAAGGAAATCAAGTTTTTCATTCCACCACAGGCCATCATTTGTTCTCTCCCTGATAATGTTGGTCTTATTTTTTTTCCATTTCCCATGTTGAGGGATGGGACAGAAGATGTTTTACATTCGCATTACTTTATATTTATGGAAGCGAGGCACTACCTTTTATGAACAAATGTCTATAGCTCACCAAATTCAGAGGCAGGTTTGAGAGCAGCCTCATGGACAAACTAGAAATAGAACCAGTGGTCTATTGTGATGCACAGCGTTAGGCCACCAGCCAGCACAGAGCCAGCCCTTGAGTAGCGCATGGCAGTAGGCTATTAAACATGGTTGTGTTATAGCCCATCACTGGGACAGTCACTGCCGCATCAGGTTGCCTTTCTGGATTGTGATAAATGACACCCATGCTACATTTTTTCAGGAACCAGTGTTGGCTGGATTTGGCTTTGTAGAAGGAGGAGCTTTCCTATGACAAGGTGGAAGTGAAAGCAGCTGTGTGTTGTACCTGCTTCACGGGAGACTCTAGAGGGTAGAGACACCTCCTTGAACAAGCCTTTGCTTGTTGCTCAGGTGCAACTTACTAATGATCTCATCAAACCAAAGAGATGTAGAAGCATCTGCTGCTTTGTTTTGGGTTAGCAGCATATCTGCCTTCTAACGGTACTTACTTTGAAGAGGACAGTTAGTAAATCGTTCATCCTCAGCTCAGGACAGAGGAACAGGGACAAACCCAAGGTGGCCACCAAGGAACCCTTCTCTCCAGGCTTTCTGACTCCTCTGTCCACATTCCGGTCTTTGATGGCGGATTTCCATTTATAAGCAAGTGTCCCATGATCTTTTTTTTTATTTTGCTTCCACTCTCTTGATGTTGTAAGCGCTCTCGTGATGTCTGTATGATCTGTCTTTACAGCAGCAACCCAGCCCACAGATACTACCTTGCAACTGACCCAGTCACGGGCGATCTGTATGTTTCCGACACAAACACCCGCAGGATTTATCGCCCAAAGTCACTTACGGGTGCAAAGGACTTAACCAAAAACGCCGAAGTGATTGCGGGCACAGGGGAGCAGTGCCTTCCGTTTGATGAAGCCAGGTGCGGGGACGGCGGGAAGGCAGTGGAAGCAACGCTCATGAGTCCCAAAGGTACTTGCATTTATCAATTTGAGCATTTCTTTGTATTAAAAACGAGAGCGAGAGAAACAATCAAGTTAGTGCCTAATTCTGTTCATGCTGAGTCTGACGTTCTACCCTCCACCATGTTCTGGAAAAGCTTTTTCACATCCTGTGTTTTAAAAAGCCATTTAGCATGAAGCTGCTAGAATCCTAACTTGGTTTTACAGTAAATATTAGGTGTTCTGCATGTCTTATTGTCATACCTTTTTTTTTTTTTTCCTTCCCTTTTCCAAGAATAAAGCGACTCCCCTCTATGGGATTCAGGTCACATTCTGTTCAACTTCAAGGAAGCGTCCAAATTCCTTCATTGTCCTGGAATTTCTTTGTCATGAATGAGTCCCAGGCCTCTTTAAAAACCATCACTAAGCAACCCTATTAGCCTTCACCCAGTTTGGAGCCATTAAACTTTTGTTTCTATGCTGTGGGAAGAAATACTTGCTGGGAGGAATTTCTAGAGGTAACAAGGGCTAAAATTCTGTGATAAAGGTCTGTAGCTGTTACGCCAGTCAGGGCTGACTCAGTGTTCGTGTGCTGGCCTTTCACCGCCCTGCTTTCTCGGGTGAGGGCTTGCTTTCTCATGACAGCTAGTAAGTATTATGTGAACAAGGGCTAGGAAGAAAGTATCCGTTGTACTGAATTATTCATAATAGAGATTTCATTGTCACAAGGTCAACAAAACTTGGCTTAGTTCTGGTATTTGTTAGAATATAGCCCCTCGAAGTTCAATGTAACAGAATTTGACCTGTTTCTATCACTTAGAGACAAGAACATTATAGACATATTAGCATCTCACTCTTGGAACAAGGCACTGACGGTGCGATTCAGATACCACAGGGCGGATCTTTGAAACGTGACTTCTTCCTTTCCATGTTGCATTTACTTGTATGGGACATGCCTCCGTTGGGGAATTGGTTGAGGTGTCTGCCATCTGCAGTCCTACCCACTGCCCCTCACCCGCCCTTCTCAGAGGAGTCGAACTCTGAGTTTAATGACAAGGTTAACAGCTGAATCAAAGTAGTCATTTTTGAAAAATGCTAACACTCTCTCCCCTTGGCTACAGGAATGGCGATTGATAAGAACGGACTAATCTACTTTGTGGATGGCACCATGATCAGGAAAGTCGATCAGAATGGAATCATATCAACTCTCTTGGGCTCCAACGACCTGACCTCAGCCCGACCTTTAACCTGTGACACCAGCATGCACATCAGTCAGGTAGCTGGCAGCCCCAGCGGGCTCTCTTGTTTCCTCACAGTGACTCCATTGCCCTGTTTGAGGGTGTGCTGCTGCCACCTTCACCTGCGTGACTCACCTGTGCTCATGTGCAGGGGTAGCTGTTGATGAAGCTGCTCTATCGAGATGAATGGTAGGAGTTGATAAAACCATATTTCTCCTACCATTCTGCTTTTGATGATTCAAGGAGATACCAAATGATTATCACAAGGAGATGTGAATCACGTGTCATAAAATAGCTGTTAGCAGCGTGCAGCCATTCCAAACAAAGCGACACAGCTTAAGTCTAACCTTTCAATTGCAGCTGCTCCTTCCC